ATTAGTACAAAGGGACAAGCAGAGCCAGTATAATGAACGAACTAGGTTTGCAATATGGTCTTCAATCCTCAAAGGATTTTTGGGTACGAGAAAAACTGGACCGCTACAAGTTTGTAGGACTCAAAGTCCAACGCGTTTTTTCATACGACTCGACGAATAAATCCAAGGAAAATATCTTCAAAGAGATTTTAGGATTTTATAATTTTATTTGGGGCTATCAATACTTTCTAAGAGGCTTTTCGAAAAACCTGCTACACGAGAATAGCTAGGACGAGGAACCTACTGGGTTGAAGTTTATGAGAAATTTAATATTTATTAGCAGAGTAGGATCTACTCGACACCTCAGAGTTGTTTCTTCTTCTCCTCCTGGTGAGGCTGGATTCTGCCTCTGACCGAAGCCGGTAGAGGGTAGCCAAACTACTGTCGTCTGCCAGCGGGCTGTGGGTTACCATAACCTAGGCCATGGTGATACTCTTGGGCTTCTTCTTATTTTTCGAAGAGTACTGTCGACTTCAGCCTGTGCTGATGTTGGTGCTCTCGCTCTTCATGTCAATTCCAATCAGGGTCATATTGAAATTCTTGACCAAATGTAAAATAAAATTAAACTTAAAATATATATACATATATATATTTTTTGTCCGTCCAGGCAAAGAGGTTTCGGGCCACTCTGGTAGCCTAGACAAATGGTTATAAAATCATAACATGCATATTGGGCGCAATAATGCGTAATTAAAAATATAATGGGATATCGAGTCTTAATACTCATTTTTCTTGCAACTCGTTTTTACCTTCACCCAGAACTCTACAATTATTAATTACGAAATTATCATTTATGATATAATTTTATTTTATTATTTCTGCATGGGATAGTTTGTATTTTACCAAACACAAATGATCATTAAGAATATCTCAAATCACAAAAAAAAATTGTTAATGTAAGATAAAAGTTTATATTTATAGATTCAAAACGGAATCGACTGTCATAAAAACGTTACACCACTACCTTTCTGAGTGTTGGGAAAACATGTATATACGCCACATTGCATTTTTCGAGGGTTTGAACGAGGCTCGGCCAAAAGAAAAATGTCAGAGCATTTTATAGAAAAAAAAGAAAAACCAAAAAGACGAAAGACTATAAGGGCGCGAATGATATTGCTCACATCAACATTCACCTCAATGTATCTAACTGATTTTGTAGCTAGTTTCATAGTTTGTTGTTTGTGTTGTCGTTGTTTACTTTTTTTTTTTCTTTTACGACTCTTTCAACGAGGCAGAGTGTACATGATAGGCTGCTGACACCTTGTAAATACGGGCATGCCCACACTAAGACTTTGCATTCTATCCCAGTCTGCTATCCCACCCTACGTTCAGTTTCATCTTTTTCCCCCCCCTTTCTTCCTGACACGGTTACTGTAATGCCCTCACTAAGGGCATATTCCGACAACTACCGTGAATATTGTATTTGCTCAGTATTACGTCCAAAGTGGTGTTGAGTTTTTTTTTCCAATGATTTTCCCCCCTGGATGTGAGGGTGTCTCCACAACATCGTGCTGCTTCTTTTTGAACAGCAACATCATGTTTTTTCTTTTCTTTTTTTAACAAAGTACTAGAGAAATAACACAATGGAACCCAGGCTCGACAAAACTCGGCGTGCAGTGAAAATCAAGTTTTTGGTCGGCAAAAACAGGCTCGAAGGTACTGGTGGTTTAACGGAAAATTAACCAACCACACTCATTAAAGGTACCTGTTACACTGATCTTTCAGTACGCATTCAAATTAACAGGTTAGAGAAGATATACATTTATACACTAATTGATTATATTAGTTATGACATAGTAGGACACGCGCGCGCGTGCGAGAGAGAGAGAGAGAGAAAGAGAGAGAAAGCGAGAGAGGAAAAAAACAAACATAAAAGAGTGGTAAATCAACCAAATGAATGAACTTGCAATTTGAAAATATAAAATTGACTAATAACACACAAAACTTTTGCTTAAAAATTAAAAATCATGATTAAATATAATTGTCAAACTTCATTATCATTCCCTCCCTCAGTAACTTCATTAAAAGAACTACAACGCATGCCCACACATTTAAACTATTGGAATATATTCCAATACATCATTAATGAAACTAGTTTGTTTCATATCTTATAGCGATCTTGAGCGCATCAGCCCTCGCTCAAGGACCCCTTGGCCACATTATGTAGAAGTTAAGAGAGTATTATTATAATATTTGACACAAAAAAAAAGTTTTTATCGCTCCGGCTGAGTGCACCAGCTATAGCTTTCACGAGTTCCTACAACAAGATAAGCTCTCTTACATAACTTTTATCCACTCCATGAGTTGTCACCATCTCTAGGGGTGTATCCCCACCAAGCTACCCGCCACTATGTGACGTTTTTTACATGTTATGCCAGAGCGAGACCGAGCGCAAACGTTTCTTGTACGTTGTAGCATAGGGGGTCGTCACAGCAGAATGCTCAAACCAAACGCATGCACAAAATGTTACTTTGAGGGGTTGATCACCCAAGACGACCCTATGTCGGTCAATTAGGATAACCATCTAACCACCAAAAACGTTTTTTTTTTTTTTTTTCTTCATCGTATTTTGTAAGTCAGAGCCTAATGACTTTTTTTTTTACTTTTCGTTTCATAACTTATTCTTACACAAGTATATCCCATGGGTCGCACAAATTCGTATACATGGAAAGCAACACATACGTGTTACTATAGCACCCAAACATGCAAAACCATAGGATTGACTCTTATGGTGACACATTACATGTGCGACTCCCTATTAGTGCAAACACAATTATACAATACTTCACCATGCTATTTCAAGAGAGGGCAAAACGAAAAGTGGTAATGTGTTGGGCTTTGACACCACCATAAGTGAAAGGTCCTGTTTCTTTTTTTTTTCTCTCTCTCTCATCCACTTTTGTGGTTTGCTACATTATATTGGCAATGTTGATTTGAGGATTGAGAGGAGTAAACAGTAATACAGGGAAAAGATAACAATCGAGAATTTATATCGGAGCGTGAACACACTTGGCGGTCAATGCTTATACACGAAACCTAAATAGGGTTAACCCATGGACAAACTTTTTATAGTTCTAAGCCCAACTGACAAGCACATGCGCATGCATACAACATCAACATGATATATGGAAGGAAACACCAAACCAGACTCAAACTTGAAAATATCAACAAAACAGGTGAACTGGCAACAATCTTTTTTTTTAAACCACAAGTACACAACCCCAGCCTTGCAGTCCGAAACTTGTCGCCACAAGAAAACGAGGTCGAAACATCAAACACTCGGCCTGCCGTTGCTAAATTCGATCGACGGCCCCGTTTTCGTTTCGCGCCTCCAAAATTTGAGGTGTCAGACCCACGGCCCAGGTGCGCATGTACTGGTGCTTTAAATCACCAATACGTCCTAAAGTCGTGCCTGTTAACGAGACACAATTTTTGAAAATGTATGGGCCACTACAAGAGCGCCCAAATTCATCCAACCAGAAACATTTCTGCTCTATGTTTTTCCATGGCCTATAATTGGGCCAAGTATTGGTGGTTTAAAACACAGATTTCTCAAAAAGCAACTGTGCGGTTAATCACTCAAGGTATTCAGAGCATGGCGAGAGTTTCTTCACCATTACCATCTTTCTCGAAATATAATGTACGATAATCATAAATGCATTTAGGGAAAAGTTCAGTCTAGATACAGTGACAAAGACCATACATTTTTATTCAAGGAAAAATGCTGGTAGTCAATGGGGGTTTCTGTCGAGGTGGCGAGTTATGAAAGGAGCGCCTAGTCACAAAAGGTGGAAAGAAGATACTAAAAATTGCAACAATCGATTAGTATCTTAAACGATTCTTTCTTTCTCCTACTCTTCTCCTCTTGCCTACATTGCTATGTCTTTGCTGTTCCTATTCACGCGAGCATTGTGGGGTTTGTGCATGATGACAATGTTTTAAGTTTCTCAAGTCAAGTCAAAAAAGAAAAAAAGAAAAAAAAAGAAGGGTTCATTACAATGCCACGGGCCCGTGCGGTCCAAGAGAGACCAAAGAACGTTGACAGATCTTGAGCCACAAAGGAAAGACTGCTGGATCACGTACATTATCTCTATCCTATGAGCCTTTTATTTTTTTTATATTTTATTTTATAAGTGAACAACTTTGAACTACAACAAACTAAGAGAAGAGTATATAGAAAGAAGTGGGTGACTGATTAAATCATCAGTACTTTCCCCAACCATTTTAATTCCCCCCATGGCCGAGCACACGTCTCAAGTTTCAGGGGTCCACCTACAGAAGCAAAATAGCTCATAATGCCATCCAAAAAAGGGCCCAAGCCAATTCTATTTTTTATTTTTAGCGCGGAGAGGTGAATCTGCTTTGGCAAAAGGAAGCCTCTACTTGTTGGTGGTTTTAACCATCAGTAGCCCAGGGGGGTCTTAGCCCCCCTCTGATGCAAATGCATATGGACGAGCGCGGCACACTGATTCAGCCTCCGTCTTAACGCCTAAAAACGCGGTAGGTACTGATGGTTTAACAAGCTGTGTGTGAAGTTGTGAACTGGCAGAAGGTTGCACTTGCCAGGATGCTTCAATCTTGGCCATCAATCTCGGTGCAGTAACAAAAAAAAAAAAAAAAAAAAAAAAAAAAAAAAAAAAAAACTGCCTAAAAATAAAAAAAAGGAAAATAAAAAAGGATCATTGAACTACTTTTTTTTTTTTTTTTTTAATTAGAAATTGCTCCAATCCATCGGTGGAGGGCGGTACCTGGTGGAAACCGGTCCAGCACCCCATGAATAAAAATGGATCCACCATCGCATAGAATAAGAGTATAGTGACAGAAACAATTTTTAACAAATATAAATTCACAAATTATCAAATTCCAAATCCATTCCATCTCGAAACTACGTTTGTCAAGATGCCAGACACGGAAAGAGAATCTAAACTTTCAAATTCATTCCGTAGAATCCGTAAGAAAACGCCTTTCCCTTCCTTTTATTTTTATTTTTATACTTTTTTATATGACATGTTGAATGCAGTCCATCCACTTGTGAAGACAAGAAGTGTGAAAAGACAATTTCATACAAATCCAATGAAAGCTGAAAGAGGATATTGTACAGAGTCTACAGACTATTCTTATCAAACTTTCAAAAGTACCCAAGCCATCACTACCTATAATAATACACACAAAGTACCAGGTAGGAGGGAAAGGGAGAGTGGGGCAACAGGAGCAGAGAGTCTGAAGTTGATGAATGAAGACAGTTGTCCTAATGAGGGAAAGGGACTGGCTGGGATCGTGCGGAATTCCTTAGCAGTCCCTTTTGCAAATTGCTAGAGAATAGACAGCGCGGTTGCTACCATAGACCAAGCTATTGCCGCCAATTTGCTGATTGCACCAAACCTTTCACCGAGCCGGCCGCCGTAGACACAGACGATGACGATTCGTCCGAAACTTCGCCAGAACACTCATTGGAATCAACAAGGCTACTTCCATGAATGCCATTTTAGGGACTTCGATCGCATTTTGCCATTTTCTCTCCTCGTCCTTGTTCCAGTTGGCAGTTGTATATTCAGGAACACAATCATTGGACAGCACTCGCTAGCCGTCTAGCAGAAGATCCTTTTTTTCTTTTCTTTTCTTTTCTTTCTTATGCGTGTGCAGGGCCCTCGCTAATCTTCTGTGTATCATTCCCATTTTTTTTATAAAGGGCTGCAATGTCCCTGAAGGATCCATAGTAGCAGATCCACTTTCAGAAAGTTCAGAGAAATGGCAAGACAGCTCCTTCATCGTGTACACGTTGTGAAGGACCCCTGGCAGCTCATCCTCCTCCTCGTCCTCCTCGTCCTCCTCGTCCTCGTCCTCGTCCTCGTCCTCGTCCTCGTCCTCCTCCTCCTCCTCCGCCGCCGCACAGTCACATGCATACGGCTCACATCTCAACGATCTCCCTCCAATCGACTATCGCAGAGCTGAACGTCAACGCGCCATCCCGTGCCAAGCATTCTCCTTCTCATTCTCCTTTCTCCGAAAGGTACTTTGTCTGGAAATGCTTTGCTTCGCTGTGCTGTACCTCACTGTCCTATTCTCTCCTCCTCCTTCATCGCGTACATGCTGCGAAGGACCCCTGGTAGCTCCTCCTCCTCCTCCTCCTCCTCCGCTGCCGCCGCCGCCGCCGCACAGTCACATGCATCCGGCTCACATCTCAACGATCTCCCTCCAATCGACTATCGCATAGCTGAATGTCAACGCGCCATCCCATGCCAAGCATTCTCCTTCTCCTTTTTCCAAAAGGTACTTTGTCTGGAAATGCTTGCCTTCGCTGTGCTGTACATTACTGTCCTATTTTCTCCTTCTCCTCCTTCCGTGGTCGTCAAAAAGCCCTTTGTCTTCTTCCCCATATCTTTCTGCTCTCTACGAACAATCAAAGTGCAGCCTTTTGTCTGCAACACTTTATAACTGAAACCTGCCCCGCTGCACGGGACACTCCTACCTGAACAACTTTCTTCTTCTCCATATCTTTCTGGTCTCTCTACGAACAATCACAGCCTGAAACTCGAAGAGAAGTCCAATCTATTGCATCAACGCTCCCCTGTTTTCTAGAATAGATTGTTTCTTTCTCTGATGCCTGAACAGGTGCAGTGTAGGCCCAAATGGATGGAGAACACACCGGTATGATTCTGCCTGTCCCACAACTCTCCCATTAGAGCATTATTATACCCTGCTAGAAGAAGCAGCATCTGTTTCTGATGTTTGCCCCTGGGAGGAAGATCACAGAGCCACTCTGTCATAACTTTGTGGGATCAATCGCGTCGCGCGTTGTCCACTCCAAAGTTTGAACCCTCCTGCTCTTTTCTTCAAGACGATAGAACTAATAGAATATACATAAGGAGTATTACAGACATAGTAACCATGGAACACTCAGCAGACCGAAATGCCGAAAGACAGTTTTAGGCCTGTGATGACTTCGTCCTGTCCTTGAACGGGTTACACTGGTTGAGGAGGTCCATTTCCATATCAACCTGTCAGTCACAACAAGAAACACAGAAATCAGGAGAAGCAAAGCAGTTTCAACTCCACACACACACACACACACACACACACACACACACACACACACACACACACAT